AAATCAAAATTTTACCCTGCATTTGCAAGGTGGTCTGATTTATCCTTTCAGATAAAGTACATTGAGTGAGATTATTTTTAGTATTGCAGTTGCACCATACGTCATGAAACACAGCCAAAATTAAGGGCCAGGAAAAAAAAAATCATTGGCTAAATGACACAGAGAAGATTGGATTACCTGTTCAAACAGAGCTCTTAATTCTGTGTATAAATAGAATCCACAAATACAAGTGCACTGTAGTAGAAAATAAAGCCAGTCAACAGCCCCTAATAACCCTTAATTATTAGGAGTTTCAGTTAACATTTGGACAGCTTTGGTCTTAATTCTTTTAAGTTTGAAGAGGCAGCATGACCGAGGCGGCCCCGTTTACAATTACAGTGAACACACACGMTGCTCCAGCCCATGCTGGCTTTAGCTGAGTGTTCTCTGGCAGCTTGGGCTGGGATTTTGCCCTGCTAAAATATAATTACCCATCTGAATGGCAACTAATTTCCAGTTTGAGTTATTCATTTGTAACAATGCACTTGTTTTGACAGAAGTCAGTGACAAGAAAAACAAATCGAGCTCCTGACCTTGGCATCATTGCTCACTTAGGAATTTTTCTGTRCCTGAAAGAAAATCTGCTGATATCCCATGCAAGTAATAAATTATCTCACGTCATCAGTCAATACAGCAATCAAGATCTGTTGCTGTGCATGTCATCAGTAAATGCAGCTGTAAAACAGACATCTCACGGTAAGATTGAAATCCAATGTTACTTAAAAAAAAAAAAAACAGCTTGATAATGCTATACTATACCTGGACAATTACAGTTGTATAAATTGAAATGTTTAATAGATGTCTCAGGTGTTTTCAAATGCCCTTAGCAATGAGCTAATATTCTTGTCCATTTTTAAAGTTGTCCTATACATTGTCCATATTGTAATAGATATGGGAGATCAGAAATCAAATACTGTATTGCAGGCAGGCAGTAAAATGCAGCAAGCAGATTAAATTTATCCACTTTATCTTAATAAGCCATGTTGTTCTTCAAAATATACAAACCTCACTACCTTTGTAGCCCAAGGATCCTTCAAGGTAGATAATYTGACATTAATTTATGGCTGCAATTCCCACTTTGGTGAAGACTGTGTAACTCTTTCCCCTTTGACCTTCTGCTTGCATCTACCTGCATCCCCCAAAAATTYCCACTCCTGAAATTTGGGTTTGCCACAAATGTGAACTGCAAAGGTTGAATTTTTATTCCAACAYTTTATCACAATTTTTTGAACATTAAAAAACACATGAAGGCACATGGAAAACACTATTSTTATTTTGTTTGATACTCTCCACAAAAAGCAACATCTGAAAGTAAAAATCAGAACTATTTTTCTGTAGGAAGAAGTGTATGATTAATGTTGGAAAGCAACCTGGTTTCATTTGATCAAATAAAATTACAGAACACTGGGACAGGAATACACACAAATGATCACCTGGCAGCTGTTGTCAGGCTCACACCTTGGAAAGCACAGGCACTCTCTGGCTGTCCATGCCACTGATGAGTTTTACCCTCAGGGATATCCTTTCTCCTGCAAGCACAAATGAGCACGAGAGCATTCCCTTGGCCTGGTGGGGCTCTCCCCTGGCCCCCAAACCAGCCTGTCTGTGCCATTTTCCTTCCTCTGCTGAGCACAACCTGCRCTGGCAGGCAAAAGGCACAGCAGGTCCCAGGCCTTTTTTTATTCTCCAGTGTGGAACGTTAAGATAATTTCTGCTGGATGGCACCCTAGCAGTTCATCTGCTCCTGCTGTGCACTCTCTCAGTGAACTCAKCCTGCTCTTTAATTGCTGCTGTGGAAGCTGAAGGTGACACCATAAGCAAATCACCATAAATACATGCAAACCCCTCACAACAGCAAATCAGATGGTTCTAGATAGGGCACAGTGTGGAGCAGCAAGAGCTGTTTCACTCTAAATCTCATTTTCACACATCTTCAGACTTTGTACATTATCCCAGCARATGCTTTGGAAGACAAGGAACTTACGTTTATATGGGCATATATAAATCCCTGAACTGCTTTTTGCTGCTTATACTTCATAAACTAATACAGCAGTGAACAAACTACATTTTCAGWACTGTGAACAAACTGCATTTCATATAAGTTATTCAGTTATGGGCAAGACCTTGCATTTCTTACTCAAGAAGGATTAAATCAAAAGGCAAGTAGTCTGTGAAAAGGTGATTTTATACACAACGAGCTAAACTGTTGCTAAATTATTCTCTCGAAGGAAAAATAAAGGTTTCCAGTAGATTTCTTAGTACTTGTTTTCAGAGAAGCTTATGCTTGCTCTCCTTAGAGGCTTTCTTCATGAGTGAAGGTAAAGTTAAATGTGTATTGAGATTGAGTTTAAGGATGATTTTCCTAAAACAGGATTAAGGCTCACTGACAGTGTAATGGAGGGCAAATAATGCTGCTCCTGCTACAAACTATAAAMTATTTTGGTTTCTATAGATAAAAGTTCAGCACCTGTGAGCTTTAAGCTTGCTTCTATAAGAGGTAATAAACCAGTTTATTTTGGTCTCTCCAATTTTTTTTCTGGAACAAAATAAGCAACCCTCTCATGATCAAAGCAGGATAATAACCAGTGATGAAGCAGYGCTTCAGAGACTTCTAGGATAATTCCATTTTTTTTCCCCTCCAGATTATTTCCAAGTTGTTTGGTTTTGTTGTTTGGTTTTTTTTTGGTTTTTTTTTTCCTTTAACCTTGGTTGAAGCATTAGRGGAGTTCTAAAAACCAACAGTCTGTGGTCAACCTGTCAGTATTGAAGCCAGGGCTAGTTACCACACWGTGGACAGTTCACATATTTTCACCCTAGCCACAAGTTTCCTCTTAAACACAATACCAAAGAGCTCTGTGTGACAAATATGTCCATTTCTAACAAACATCTACAACATCTATTACAGTTTGTTAATACCTTGACACCATTTCCATTGTATCCAAATGATAATTGCCCTCTTGTATCTCAATGACATTGACTAACAATGCAGTTTGTAATTAGATGGGGTAACTTAATTCCTGGCCCTCTGTAAACATCTGGATTCTCAAATCTCCATTCCTAGATGGGAGTTCCTTGCCACACATCACTAATTATGCCATGTGATTATATATAAGTCCCTACATTCTCCTGCTGAGCATCTCTTCTTTGTTCCCATTAGGAGGCAGAGACTCTTGTCAACACAGAGAGAATCAACACAACTGCCTAGCATTGCATGTGACATTTAATGGAAATGAAGTCAGGTCTAATTTGCATGGCAGGTGTTATTTTATTGCAGCCAGAGCTGCAGAAGCTGGATGGCACGGTGCCAGTCAAGTGTGCAAGGCTGAGAGTCAGTGCCACAGAGGGTGTCTGGCACAGCAATCTCGGCACCCCCCTTGTCTGCCTACACACCTCCCGTGTGAGGTAAAGTGACAGATTTGTTCATTTTCCCAGGTCCCCCTGTTCTTGYTCTTTCTGGTAATTCCATCCATCCCTCAGAGTGGTCAAGGAGGGTGGGGGTAGAAGGCCCATCCACCCTCCTGCCAAGGGGCCACCACACCAAGCAACTTCCAGCTCTGGCAGCCCCTMCTGATTTAAATCCACAAGCTATAGCTAAGGAGCTCTGTAGCACAAGAGATTGACTTCTGTCATGCACAGGAAGTTTTACAAGAGAAATACATGAATATTTTTCATGAGCCATGTGTTTTGAAAGAACATGTGTGTTTTTTTCAGTCAAGCACTCAAAAAAATTTAACGGGCAGAGCGTGCTCCTTCAGTTTCCATTTCCTCAAGTCATTTCACCAAAACTTACAAGAATGCAAAATTATCATTATCATTTTTATTTGGTTTAGCCTTATTAGTACCCCTTAGAAACATTCATTTAAAAGTCTCTGATTCTGATTTCAGACTCTGTTAAGACCATCAGCAGTAATAATACATCACATATCTTAAGCTCATGAGTGGAAGTAAAACATAACACAYCTTCTAACAGGCTGTGGCTCCGCCCACTCACTTTCCACTCCTCGGGAGAGTTTTTTTCTATTTTCTTATCTCCCCAACTCCTTTCTGACCACTGTCCTTCCCCTATAATCATTTTGCCACTACACTGGTTTCCAGACTTTGACCGCTGAACATCTAAAGTAAGTGCGGGCTATTTTGACCCTCCCWGCGGAGGCTCCTGATGCCATTGGTTACCGCTCCATCCCGGCCCCTCAGAGCCAGCCAGTACCAACCCAGGGGCAGACTCATGCTTACTTCACAGGCTGGCTCAACAACTTTACAGACACATATTTAACTTAGCAGGGCAGTTATAAGAATAAACTTTTATTTATGGCAGTTTTCAGAGAGAGAGATCATTTTCCCAGGTAAAAAACTAACGAATTACACAATCGGAACAGCACAATAAAATAAAGTAAAAGCYTTTACCAAAATTCATAATGATTTGCTCTGGAGCCCAGTTTTGGATGACATTCAGTTTCCCGGAGAAGATGCTACAAACTCCATTTTTATCTCTGAAGTTTAACTTTGTAAACAGATCTGCCAGTTAGAAAATTACTCTATTCCAGTCGTTTGTTTCTAATGGTTCATCAGTAAATCTCTCCATTTTACAATCCCGTTTTTTTCTGACAGCATATCCAGAACGAACACTGGTCAGACGTCCACCGAGACAAAGCAATCTTTGCACTTTAGGAAACAACGACGGCCCTAAAACGAGCTCCGGGCTGGACCCATCGSGGGGCAGAGCACGGAGTCCCGGCCCAGCAGGAACTTTTCCTAACAGCGGGGCGCTCTACCAGCCAGGAAAGGCTCTTSACGCTGTCGGAGTTTCTTGCTCGGAAAGCTTTGCGGTTTGTTCYTCCCCGGGATGCGAACGAAGCGGTTGAAGAAGACAGCGGAGCCGGGGCACTTCTGAAAGGGGGACCCGTGGCATCCTTTCCCTCGGTGCGAACTCCGGCGGGACGGGCGCGGGGTCACAGCCGGGGATGCTCAGGCTGCTCGGAGGAGGGGGCAGGCCTTTGCCCCGCCARCAGCCCGCTCCCTTCCAGCCTGCCTCGCTCAGCAGCACCGCGGAAAGCCGCGGCCCCGCTCCGCCCCGCGGGCCCGACGCCCGGCTTTGCCCGACGCCSCGGTCCGCCCAGCTCCGCGGGAGTTCTCGATCCCCCGCCCCGCCTCAGCCCCGCGCGGTGCCGCCGCGCCCCGTCGCTCCTACCTACGCGGTGCGGTGCGGTGCGGTTCTGCGCGGTGC